GTAAAATATATACAGCATTTTCTAATAGAAGTGTTATTATGTTATGCCTATTACGTATTTAGGAGACAGCCACCAAAACAAATAACATTCTGTACAAAACAACTTACCTGATAGTACACCATCAAATATATTACATTTTCTGTAAGTAAATTAATGGTATCTTAATTAAAATTTTCGGAGGATTATAGGCTAATGCAGTGTCAGTTTTTTAAAGGAAAGGCAGACTATACTTTTCACTTTGAACATCTATTAGTGTGATCAAACTGTACGAATAAATTTTTAGATCCTTTTTTGATTCTAACATCAATCACTGCCGGATAATTTATCGTGATTGTTTAAAGGCTCGAAGAAGACTGAAATAAAAATCACTTGAGCTGCAATCGATCGGTAATGTCACGTTATTAAGGATCGTCGATTTCGTCCAATCGAAAATTGCCCAATAGAAACTTGGGAAATTAGTATGTTCGGTCACTATGATGATCGGACCAATCAGAATTTTTGAGATAAATAACGATCAAAATTAACTTTTTTTTTATCAAAAAAAAATACTCATTTTTCAGAGCAAAAATGCAGAGCGAATCGAGCGAATCCGAAATTCAAGAAATTCAATTAAAAGATGATAAAGATTTGGATATTTTAAATTCGTTAACAAAAGAGATTGAAGATGAAGATTTATCTGAAGAAGACGATGAAGTCATTATTTCAAAACAATTACAAGCAAAAAATCGAAAAAAGAAAAAATCGGGAGGCTTTCAATCAATGGGTATTAGATGTGCATTTTTCTTTGTGAAATTGAATGATTTATTATTAAGAAATTAAACCTCTTTTAAATTTTAACAAGGGTTAAGTTATCCAATATATAAGGCAATACTGCATAAAGGATTTAAAGTTCCAACCCCAATACAACGCAAGACGATACCGTTAATTATGGACGGTAAAGATGTAGTAGGCATGGCACGTACAGGTTCCGGCAAGACTGCCGCATTTTTGATTCCGATTATAGAAAAATTAAGGGTTCATTCTGCAAAAGTATGTATAATTCTTTTTTTTATAACCGTACAGATTAGACTTCACGCTAATGTAATATGAATGCTACGATAGGTCGGTGCTAGAGCGATTATATTGTCACCTTCACGTGAACTAGCTCTTCAAACACAAAAAGTATGCAAAGAGCTTACTAAATATACAGATTTGAGAAACTGTCTATTAGTTGGTGGTGACAGTTTAGAGGATCAATTTGCGATGTTCGCTAACAATCCTGATTTGTATGTATTTTTTTTTTCTATGTCTTTTAAACGATCACTAAATTAACATATCAACACTATGTTGTAGCATAGTAGCAACCCCTGGGCGTTTTCTTCATTTAATTGTAGAAATGGAACTTGAACTTAAAACCGTTGAATACGTTGTTTTTGATGAAGCTGATCGGTAATAATGAAAATCTTCATGAAATTTATTTGTTAAATTAATTATAATGCTAATTTGCCTACTTTATAAAGATTATTTGAATTAGGATTTTCGGCACAGCTTCATGAAATATTGCATAGGTTACCTCAGACACGTCAAACCATGCTTTTTTCTGCTACTTTGCCAAAATCACTTGTAGATTTTGCTAATGCTGGACTTCAAGATCCTTGTTTAGTACGACTAGATACAGATACCAAGATTAGTACTGATTTAATGGTATGTGTTATATTTATTTATTGTTCTATCAAGTTTATAAATAATTTCTAATTTAAAATATGTTACCCTATCAATAGATGGCATTTTTCTCTGTGAAACAATTAGAAAAAGAAGCTGCACTATTATATATTCTATATGAAGTCATTAAAATACCTAATACTCCTACATCATCAGCCACTATATCTAATAATAAAGACGGAAATACATTGTCTCAATCTTTACAATCTAATCAGACAATTATTTTTGTATCAACAAAACATCATGTTGAATATATCACAAATCTTTTGAATATTTGTGGATTTCAAACGTCATATATTTATGGTTCTTTAGATCAAACTGCTAGAAAAATACAAATAAATAATTTTCGTAATGGTCGAACTAACATTTTAGTTGTGACAGATGTAGCGGCTCGTGGAATAGATATTCCAATATTAGAAAATGTGATCAATTATGATTTTGTATATAGTAGTAAAATGTTTGTTCATAGAGTAGGGCGAACAGCCAGAGCTGGTAGAAAAGGTTGGGCCTACTCTTTAATTACACCTGAAGAAGTATGTTTATACAATTTTTTTAAACAAAATAATCAAAATTTTTAAAATTCAACTTTATAATGAAATGTTTTACAATATTTTTAGCTTCCCTATTTACTTGATCTTCAACTTTTTCTTGGTCGTCGATTATTAGTTGGTTCAGCTACAGATTCAACACCTGATTATACATCAGATATCATTATCGGATCCTTACCTCATGATCCTTTGGGATCTTATGTGGAATGGGTAAAAGGAAAACAACAAGAAATTAATAATTTGAAATCCCTTTGCGATGTGGCGAAAAATGGTCATAAGTTATTTTGCAAATCTAAATCATCAGCATCTCCAGAAAGTTATAAAAGAGCAAAAAAAGTTATAGAAATGAGTAATTCCAATGATGTACACGTTCTTTTTGGTTTGTATATACTGTATATGTATTATTCATATGTTGTATGTTATATTTCTATGTAAAGTTATTAACAAACATATATTTCAAGCCGATCAAGTTAATGCTCAAGAAAAAAATCGACTCAGTTTCATAAATTCAATTTCAAATTTTCGACCACATGAAGTAGGTTGATTTAATGTCAAAAATTAGTTTATTATTTATAAAGTTAATAACATTTATTTATATTCATTTTTATTAGACGATTTTTGAAATAGGAAATAGAGGGAAAAAAAAAACATCGCTCATATCGCCTATAATAAAGCAACATAAAGAAACTGCAGTGAAGACGACAACTGATGCAAAGGAAATACAAATAAATCATGAAAATTCGCCTAATTGTCATGAAACAGAAGTAAAAGTATGTTAAATAATTTCTGTTTTCTTGTTTCATTTATACATCATATTTCTTACATTTATTCAAATTAGTCACAAAATACTAGTGAAATCAAAAAACGAAAGAACGATGATGACACTAAAACGTGTTAGTAAATTAGTAATTTTTTGTGAGACAAATGGTTTTTGATCCAGACTATTAAAATTGATAATTCTCTATCAAAATATTAATCAGCTAAAAAACAGAAAAAAGATAAATTTCGAGATGATGAATACTATATTTCTCATTATCAAAAAGATGCCAATACAGAAAAAGGGTTTGTAAACTGGATGATTATTTATTTGATTTCAATGAATAAAATTAAATGAATTATTTTTGTAATAATAACTTTCTGCAATAGATATTCAGTAAACCAAGGCATATCGTTCGCTGAGGAATCGAAAAGAGCACTTTTAGGTACTCAAAATGATGAACAAATTCCAGGCGCAAATAAAAAGAAAAGTTTAAGATGGGATAGTAAAAAGAAGAATTTTGTTCGTAGCAACGGTATAGAGTCTGACAACAAAAAATTTATTATCAGCGAAAATGGAACAAAGTTACCGGCTACATATAAAAGCGGGAGGTTAGGAAAATTTTGAACTTTGAATTTATTAACATATTAGAACAATATCCTCAATGATGTTACTTATTCCCACAGATTCACAGAGTGGCAACAGCAACATAAGTTATCGATACCTCGTACTGGCGAAAAAGAAATACCATCTGCACAATTGGACGTTAAAAAGTTTCGGCATAAAAAGACTACTCCCGAACCTTTAGACCCTCTTGCGATGGATTACGAAAAGAAACAACAAAAGACTTCTAAGAAAACAAATTCCCGGAATTCCGGTAAAGCCAAAAATGAACTTAAAACTGTAGACCAAATTTGCAAGCAAAGAAGAATAAAAGAAAAACGAAAAGCTAAAAACGCAAGACCTAGTCGAAAGGTGCGATTCAAAAAGAAATGATCCCTAATAACGCTTTCCATGACTCATCGTTTAAAGAAATGTTAGATATATAGTTATTTAATGGCAGAAATAAAAAATTTTACTACTGTTTCGGACCATATTGTTATTAATTTCTTTAAACGAAGGCCTTTCTTTTATCAACAAACTGAATATCTGCGCTAAATCTACCTAAAGCTTGACAAAATTATTTACTGTAGTACATATATCTGAATGAAATTAAATTTGGAAGCCATAATTTCCAAAAGTTCAAACTATATATCGATATGTATGCAATAATAACCATAATTGATAATTGTACTGTACAAATTTGTAATAAAGTATCACAAACTACCTATGATTTGGAGTGAATACTTAGACACATTAATATTAGTTATCGTTATACAGTATATACCAGGTGGGTGAAAAGTCTCTAAATAGGTCCCTTTTTTACTACGTATCTCCGCTAAGATGTACATAAATATTGTAATGATTACTAATTATAAACGTTAAAATGATATTCTTGGTGATTAAAAACAAGGGTCCTTTTAGAGGCTTTTCACCCACCCGGTATTTTTTTAATACTCTATTGCAAAATGTTTTAAAATAAGGTACATGAAGTACCCGTAATGTGTCAACTAAATTTTTAAGCGCAAAAAGGGATTAAATATATTTGTAGTCATTTTTTATATGCTAAAATTCACCAAATCGAAATGTTATATATATTTTTGCTTCCTGTATAGCACATCCTTTTTAAGGAATTCCCTGATGAAAGTTTAAACTAAGGATAATCAGACATTTGTTACCCGATTACTGAAAAATAAATATAAATTCAGTCATTTTTTGCTTTCGAAATGTTTTATTTGATTTTTTTATTTTTTATGATATAAGCAAGGTAATAGAACAGGGACCTAAGAAATAAAACATCTCTTTTTGCCAATGTTGATAAGTTTTATGCATTGCCTTTTAGCGAAACTAAATCCCTTCATCAAAGTTGTATTACCATACAGCAGCAGCAATTTTTATGGATTAATAGCACCATATTGATCATGTGCTGCACCTGACGAACCACTACTTACACCAGTACCTCTATCAGTATAATAAGGTTTAGATTGTTGTTGGTCAGGATCCGCACGACCAATCTTAATAAGTCGTTCGTGTTCAGCTCTATAATCACGATCACGTTGTTCAGGAGTCGGTAAATTTGCAATAAGAACGTATGCCGAAATCAGAGCGAGAATCTGTATCCAATGAGTTGGAAGACATTGATTGATATTAAGGAATCAACGGATAAATAAAAAAAATCACGTTATAAAATTAACAAACCTGGATAAGAGCCAAAATGATCCCCCAAACACCGAGCGCAGTTTGATGATGCCTATATGCTTGAGTTAAAACTGTTAAACAAGGCTTGTCATAACCAAACCAAGTACTTTTAGTGCAGGCATCTGGGCTTTTCTTTGGGATGGCACGATCTGTTACATTCCTAAATCCGCAGCACGAATACTATTCGGCAAAAAAAAAAAATTTTTTTTTTGTTATAAATATTAAGCATAATAAATAGATCATAATTTACCTACCTTATCTTCGATGTCGCGAATTATTCTGGGATTATCGGTGTAAGCAGCCTGCCACCAAGTGTCAAGAACTCTTTCGACCTAAAAAGAAATTAATATTAATTGATTAATGAGTATTGATTTATCTGTTATTGATCGAGATTATTGATCGAGAATACGTACGTTTTGCGTGTCGATCAAAGTAACAATCGCAACGATAACTTGTAAAACGATCAATATCAAAAGTACAATGAAATACTATTTTTTAAAAATTATCAATCAGTCAAGAAAAAACAAGTTGACAATCATTAAACAATAAACAATAATTTTTTTTGGCAAAAAAAAAAGGATACAGCCCATAAGACGGGTTTACTTTCGGCTACTCCACCACAACAACCAGTAATAGAAATCAAAAGAATGACGATGCCAAAAATGATAGTAGCAAGAGGAATCGCGTTCGAGTACAAGCTTACGTCAGGGGACGCGAGTTCATAAAGTCCCAACACGATAAGGATAAAACCTACAATCTAAAAAGCACAACACAGATAAATCCAGGACATAAAAAAGTACGATATCGATAATCAGACGATTAACAGATATGAACACTAACGGTAGTTAGAGTGTTTGTTAGAATAACAATAAGTCTTCCGGCCTCCACGCTTACTCCCATTTTTTTCATAAAGATTATTTTTGACCAATTAAAGAAACTTGTTTAACAATAACCCCTTCACTATTAAAATATATATTAAAAAATCACAGCTTAAGATGTTTTGTGTGAGTAAGGAACCAAAAACAGATGGAAAATATTCGTGAGAAATTAGGAAATCGAGATCATATTTATGTGAGAGTATTTTTTACTGATCTTCAATGACGTGAGTAATTGTTAATAGTCAAATATCATAATAACATCATTTTCTATTACTATATTAACACTCAATTATGTCATTGATCTACATCGTCTGGGCGTATATCGCGTGACATAGTTAAGAGAGAAAACCTATAACGCTTACGCTATTTATAATTTCGAACAACTCAACCGTTTTTATGATATCTTTAATTCAGTAATAACCTATATCTGTATAATACACTCAGAACCTTAATCATTAAAAATAACCTTCACTTGTTAAATCCATCGCTATACAAATTTTTCTGATGATCCTTTTTCTATGAACTATCATCCGCAAAATCTTTCTCATCTACAAAAGCTTTGTTCATTTTATTCGCGAAACCAATGCAATGAAATGGTATCACACAAGTTTTAACAAGACAACACGACATATCGAGATTTCTTGATGCAATATTGCAAAAAAAACTTATCTCGCACGAACGTACGTACGTACCAGTACTCGATTTTTAATATTTTGATAAAAAAAATAACGGTTAGAACTAATGAATCTGACTGATAGTTAAAAAAATCAGTTATTAAATAAACTTTTTCACATGCGTGTATGTATAATGACGCATTTTTCCTAATTTAGGATCGCGTCTTGATTTTTACAAATCAAAACAATAGACGTGTCGATAGAAAAATGGTAAAAAATTTTTCATATTTTTATTTCTTATCTTATATTCTTCATATGTATTTACATAATATATACTTTCATTCACTTTTTGTCAACTTTTTTAATTTCGCTCTTACAACAGATAATAAGTAATGATCCCATGTTAATTTACTAACAAAAAATTTCTGAAATAGATTCTAGACTGCCCTAGATTTCCAAGTTATACCTTCAATGGTAGTAGATTTGAGGTATTAGCAAAAATATACAGTGTTGAAAGTAAGACATTTCGTGAAATTATGCGAAACGATGTCGTGTAACGATTTGCGCCACGAACAAGGTTTCACTTTAAAAATAAAGGATTATGTAATGTTAATATATAAATAACATTAAGAGATGTACGTGATAAATTATATTTGATCTCGCGGCTTTAGCCGTAACTTGATTGTCAACTTCTTGAGAACGTGGGATTGATCATCAATTACTTGAGAACGTGGAGTAGTTAGGCTTTCGCTAGAATCGCTGTTGGTCACTACCCAATATTTCGTACTAAAGGTATATGTTATATATATATATACAAAGACATAGACTATCTTATATGGAAACATTACTTCAAACCTTGACTCCTAAAACTGCTGGGAAGGCAGCTTCGTTAATGTAAGATTATAAGAAACTAGCAGAAGTTTTGTTCAAAAATTAGGTATATACGAAATCTAAAAATTCAAATCATACACTAAGCCAAAATCGGAAGCACATTTTGAACCCAAAAAGGAAATAGAAATTAGGAGACTACGTATGCAGAATAAGAAAGAAAGACGCGCCGATTTGCCCTTATTTAGAAACATAATAAAGCGTGGACATGAGTTTGGAACATAAAAATAAGATTACTGTAATCAACATGCTTTGGACACGAACATTTGAAATGGCCAAAAAAGGCTTTAGACAATGAAAATGTACAACACTGTAGTAGAGTATTTCGGTAGGCTTAGCTTCAACGAGACTATGGTACGCAGCTATTATGATCGTTAATATTCAGGCTTAAAAATTTATTTTTTTAGTATAATACCACAGTTTTGCGGTTTATAATTTTTATTTCGACCATTTATGATCTCCAGGCTGCTATTAAAGTATGTATTTCTGGTATCTTATTGGTTTCTTTAGTGGTATTTTTGTATTATTACTAGGGTCTGGAATGGGTCTGGTTTGGCCCGACCCGCAAATAACCGGGCCCGGACCCTGATTTTTAAGCCCGTAATTACAGCTATTATCATAATTCCTGAAACACCTGATAAAATTAGCCGAATGATTTTTCGGCCGATTCGGTTAAGTTA